CCAAAGTGAGACATCATTACATGAAATCACAGACTAATGGTTTGAGCCATGTTGTTAAATCCTGGATGAGGTCCACTTGATAGCATCGATCAGTGGTTAAAGATGTTAAGTGATATACTTCAGGACCAATCTCAGTAAAGAATATACACGCACTCTTAATCTCTGTAGATCATGAGTCCCAGTATTCCTCTATACATGTCTTTCCTTCCAGTCATTCTCATTCTCATCACTACTACATTGTTTCGATTTCTCTCATTATTTATCTGATTGATTTGATCAGATCGTGTCATTATGGTGTGGCGACTAGGATCAGTTCACGTATAAACAAGGACCCATATTGATTATGACTAATTGATAACTAATAGCTAGTAGGTACTTGCTGAATATGTATTCTATGAGAGGTTTTTATTTTTTCGACATAAGTATGGAGGTCAACCCGTCTCCTTCATAAGTTCCCGTAGGTTAGTGAAGCGAAAATAATGTCTAAATGCATAATTATTTTTAGTAATTTTTTCTTGAGCCAGTACAGTTATAAATTCTTATGTCATGTGTTACGCTGTTATAGGGTTTATAATTGACTTTTATGTATTGATACTTACTGGATTGGAATTGGATCGTTTCTCCATAATTTAAGTCATTTTAATAAGTTGATTGGAGTTTATCACCTTGATGTTTTTTGCTCTTACCCCTATAAAGCTTTTAACTTTACCAACGAGATGTCAATGTATGATCTACTAACTTTTAATTTACAACACCGATTAGTATCGTCGTTAGAGTCATACGTAAGCACTCCTGACATTAGCAGCTATATTGATGTGAGGTATAATAGTTGGGAGATCAATTTGTTTTGTTCCCGCCTTTCTAGGTCCATCGGTTGGGGAATAGTCGGGCTTAAGGTGACAGACAATGTCTGACCGCGAATTCGCACTGGTAACTGTACTGAGTAAAACTACGGTTTCTTTTATGCGAAGGTACCTTCTTAAGACGACTTACTCTTCCCCATGAATTTCCATTGTTAGCTATGCTGAAAAGTATGGAGCTAAAAAATCAAGAACAATGTACAGAAAGACAAATGACAACCTACCTTAATCAGTTGTGCCTTGGGATTTAGGGTCGTGTAGACGACAATTATCCCAGTTTCCTGTAAGTATCGATGCCGAAGTTAGACTTGATAGTTTAAAATAAATTGAACATTGGGTAAAAAGTTAATAATAAATACATTTTTGTCATATCTTGATGAGTAGAATAATTGTATTTCTGACGTTTCATGACTTAATGTAACCCACTTCTTCCGAGTAAATAAATAACCGAATTCAATTAACATAAGTTTAAGTTCGTTCATTTGTTTACTTTGAGAAAGTGGTTTACACGAAGTCACGAAATGTCAGAAATGCAATTTTTCTACTCATCAAGATATGACAAAAATATATTTATTATTATCCAAGTTACCTGATGAAATCCCTAACACAGTGTGATCGACCGAGAGGTAACAACCGCGCTGATACTTCTGACAGCACCAGAAACCGTCTGTTTATCTCTTAGCATATTATCTGACTCAACATATTCATGGACTAATAACTGTAGAACCCAAAAGATTTCTCAAATGCCGTGTTTTTTTACTACATTATCAGGCCGTAGTTAAGACAGGAATAATAGAAATTAAAACAAACCAGCATTTCTAATTAACAATTTGCGTTAATTTGTGCTCTAAACTTTCTGTTTTTCTTAAATGTTTTGATAAACGATAACAAAAGTATTCACCCAATCAAAACATTAAAGCTTATTCTAAGATGTCAACAGCTCGTAACTGCTTTTTGGAAGAGTGAATTATCTCATCATCACCCTGATGATGATTCCATATTTATGCCAATAGAGAGCAATATCCAACTTAAGGATAGTATTCGTGAATGTTTTTATACAATACACAATTTTATGGAACAGATACTTGAATTTACTGAGTAAAATAAATAATGACAAGAGAACTAAGTTTAGATAATTAAGCTTGTCGACCGCTTCACTTATGCTGGGAGCCTCGTCAGCCCTTGTGGTCTGGTGTGTGACGAAATCTCAGCACAGATACAGAAGGCTCGACTAGCTTTTGCCAACTTGCATCATTTATGGCGTACGCGAGATATCCATCTACCAACCAAAGGACGGGTTTACTGCACAGCAGTTCGATCCGTCCTACTTTATAGCTGTGAAACAGCCGGTAAGAGTGGAGGATATTTGTAGGTTACTAGTATTTGATCATAGATGTCTAGGAAACATTGCTCGTACATTCTGGAACCACCGAGTAAGTAATGGGGTTGTTAGGGAACAGGTAAGGATGGTAAATCAGTTGATGAAGTGAAACTTCATCAGTTGAGATGGCTGGGAAATGTGTTACATATGCCCAACCACTGACTGACACGACAAGCGATGTTTTATAGTGTAGGGGAAGGTTGGGAGAAAGTTAGGAGTGGACAGACCAAAACATGACACAAATCCATGAAGTTACTGACAAGTGGACTGAGTCATGTTGGTAGATGTAGACTACCTGGTTGGGATCCGCGAGATGATACCAACCGATGGTAAGAGACCCTGAGTGACATGACTCAAAATCGTTTGCAATGGCACAGGTGCATCCAAGTTTTGTGTTCTCCCAAATTCAAATCTTCTGAATTCTCCTTGTCTCTTTTTTTCTCTTTCCGAATTTATTTCACTGGATTATACTCTTTGAATAACATCTTCAGTCCCTAATCTTTCCGATTACTGCCTGTAATTTTAATACCTCTACCACTATGGGATTTGAACCAACAATTGTATCTTTGTGCTAATGTGGTATGGCAACTTGAACTGATGTACGTATGAAGTTCTGAGATTATAATTGGACTAACCATAGGAAAAGGATATAACACGGATCAACAACGTCATATTGATATTGGTGAAATGTTAGAATTTAAGAAGTAGTGTCAAATAAGTCAGCCCAATTAGACAGGATTATTATATGTCAATACTAGTGCCATTGAAAATAAATGCATGACTAATTACTTTAAACTTTAGCACTATTAAAACAGATAAAACACACGAGGATGATTGGAAATCACATGATTCAATTAGAAACTTTCGACATTAACAGTACTGTGAAATTTCTAAAATCTCCACAAAACCCATACTGATTAACAGTACTGCCGATAAATCGTGAAGATACGAGCAATAAGTTATAAAAATATTCACATGTTTGTAAGAAGATGCATCATAGTGACAGAAATGATGGTCATATAAACGCTTAGTTATAAACTCTTCAGTAAAATTCTTTATTCATTTGAGTCCCGTTACTGGGTTTTTATCGCTATGGCAATAGTGATTGACTGCACAACTAAGAACTTAGGTTCTTTTCGACTACAACTAGTCTTCGCACTTATAACTTAGATGAAGTATTTTTAAGCTCATTTTACCAGGCATAGACTCGTGTACTCTAGTTTCAGCTGCACTCGAAGTGTGAAGCCTAGCAATACTACCCTGTTGTCCAAACTCAGCTTAATGGTTGTAAGTCAAGCTCCTTAATCAATGAACTATCGCTGCGTTACATTGAAAATTAAATAAACAGATAATAAGCTTTTTGTCTAAAAAATACAATAAAATTAAACTGACTGGAAGGATTCTGTGATAACAGAGGTGTTACTAAAAAATAATTTTGTTGAGAAGTATACTTTTGTCGTGAAATTGGCTTAAATGATATACGAAACACTTCAATTGTAGCATGAATGGACTATAATTTCTCGATTACACGTTTGGTATGATACTATAATGAAGAATAAGAACTATCCCGAAAGCTCGATCTGAACTCGCTTTTCTTTATATTTACAATCTGACCAATCATCTACCAAGAATTTATGCAAGATTATGGATACATACACCAGGCATCATATTACATAAAGAATCTTGCACAGTACATTTCATTTGTGACCTTCCATGTGTCCAACATTATAAAATCCAGGTCATGTAGGATCTCTTATCGATTCTTTACTTACAGGTGTAGAAAACACGGTACTACAATGCCGTAATGCTGTGTACCAATAATTAGAAAACTACAATATATATTAGTTACCATAGTGCTACAACCTGTAAGAGAATAAGAACAACAACAGGACTTATTGTTCAAATGTAAATTTTTTTAATCAACAGAAAATCATAGCCAAAATTACGAAGTCAATAGAATTGACTATATCAGCGATAGCATAGGCAAGCTACTCATTCCTTGCCATTAACTAAGCTGGTTTTTAACCTATCTCACGAGAAGTATATATCTAGAGAGTGAGAGAAATAAAGAGAAAGGTCATTTTTTCGATAATGTAATTTATACAATACAAACACGTGCGCCTGTGTATGTGACTGCGTTGTGTGCCTACACAGTAATTATCTAATAGATAAAATTGAATAGATGGATAGATAGATACAGAGACCAGTAATAACAATAATATTAATAGTAATAACAATGATAATAATAAGGGACAGTTGGATAAATTTGTTCGCGTTTTACCAGTGCTGTTTCATAAGTAAAAAGTTTGACAGTTGTATGAGTGCAAGCGGACGAAGGAAAACAATTGAGGAATAGACAAGAGTAAAAACAGTGTGAAACAACACAAACTCTCTCACACACACGTTATATGTAGGACTCAACGGGACAAAAAGAGAATAGTTACAATTAACCCGTACTATATGAACAGAAGAACTAGAAAAGAAAGGACAAACGATAAAACAAAGTATCACTTAGAAGAAATAACAACAGAGACGAATACAAAGAGAAGTATGAGATCATTCGGTATATATATATATATATATATACTGGGGAAAAGAAATATATACTCTGGCGATCGATGGTATTTTCTTAAAAAATCACACGTAAGTAACCACCTAATAAAACAGAAAAGATAATCTACAATTACTGGATATATATATATATATATATATATATATATATATATATATATATATATATATATATATATATATATATATTCGTGTTTCTAATGTAAAAGTTGCAAGGAAAAGAATAAGCATATATATAATAACTGTGTGTACAAGTGTTGTCTGCATAAAGGAGTTGATAGTAATGGTAGTAGTAGCAAACAGCATTCAAGCTAGAGTGGAGCAAGTAACACGAGGAATCGATCAATATAGCAAATAAATAATGTACAGGGAACCACTAGGGACACATACATTTATGCTCATATAAACTCATTGTATACACACACAGACACGTTTGTTCTTATTTACTAATGAAAATGTGAATAGAGTAAATCAAATAAGGAGCGATACAACAAGAAACGAGAAATACAAACAAACAAACAAGAGACATTTTCATAACTGTACACACGCAAACATTGTTTGTTTAAGTTGAATTTTTGCATCTTCAATTAGGATCACTTCAATGGATGATGATGTTGGTAATGACGAATATTAATGAGAATAATATTAATAATAATAATGATAATAAATAGTCGTAAGAAGATTTTATATTGTGATCATCACGATACGATAATAGTTATTAATGTACAATGTAGTGTTATTTGATGGAGAACTGACAAGAAGTGAAGCAACGATAATAAATCTGTGCAGCCGTCGTCGTTATCACTGATGGTGAAAATAATACTTCAGTAGTAGCAATGGTGAATATTAACAGCACAATATCAGCAGCAGTGGTAGTGGTAGTAGTAGTAGTATTAGGTAGAATCATCCTCAGAGAACAGGTTTAATTGATAAGTATTGATTTAAAAAAGCCATTAGTATTTATACTCTTTTAAATAACATTGGATGGATCAAACTGATAACATTGAGACGAATAGCACTGATTTAATAACGGTAACAAAAGTGATAATAATAATCACGACTTAATGTTGAAGTAACGTTTCATTAAATACGGGATAGTAACATAACCAATGTAACAGCAATAAGATACTAAGACAAATGACCACCGGGATGTAAAAACAAAGGAGTACAACCACTCACACATATAGATGCCTATATTTATTCATCTATATGTATATACATATAAATATGATACTGGATACAAACAATCACGAAAGGAAATGAACACAATCTAATTATAAACAGGAATTATTGCACATAAATAGTAAACAAGGGCGCCAACTGTATGTGTATATATGTGTGTATTCGCTTGTACCCGTGTGTATATGTGTTTTACATGACTAAAGGTTAATTTAGAATAAATAAAACTCGTGTTCTCTAGGTGAATAATAGTGAAGAAAGAAATATGTGAATGGGGTATGGATGATAAACGATGTAACACAACTTATACCCTGACATTTTTTTAAAGAAACAAACTATGCAGTAACTAGGTGCATAAAGTAATGAAAAGCAACAGTTAATATAGTAGACGGAGAAAAAGATATAAACAGAGAGATAGATAGATAGAAGGAAATACGTATACACAACTGTACAGTGTAGTAGAATGGCTTAAAAATGGAAATGAACTGAATCAATAAAAAAAAAAACAGGACGAAACAGGATACACAATAAACATTTTAATAATCTTATTCTTGCAGTTTATGTTGTGTTTTTCTTTAAAAGAATGTAGATTGGAAAGAAAAAAAGATATATATTAAACGATGATGCTGCCCATATGTATGGATGTGTTTTCTTTCGAATTAGGCCCAGACAGGAATTTCACATATCAAGAAATTTCAGAATCCAATAGTAGACTTCTTCTTTGTTTGTTAGTTCACAAAAAAGGATTATGCATGAACACGAGTGCCTCACCGGTGTATGTGCAATGAAATTTTATATGTATGAGCGTGAAGGACTAAATAAAGAGAAAAAGAATGAAAAATAACAAATATATAACAATTCCACGATCTATTTATATAATTCTATATTCAACAATGACAGAATACACTATTAATGGTAACAGCGATAAGGCACTCAAATGAAAAATGGGGCTTAGACATATCAGAATTTTATAGACTAATTTTTTGAACAATGACAATAACAACAACTGAATTTTATTGTTAGGATCACATTTATTTATTATTTATTTATTTTAACACATAGATATTGGTACGAGAAGGCACCAAATACATGTACGCCACACAAATCTCATTTGATATATGTGAGGGCTGTGATACTGCCCGGGTGCCCAAACCGAAGCAGGTTAGGATCACATTATAGTTGATTGATTTCATGAGACTGATAATTCATGCACTGAATTACATAACATTAATAGGTCACCCAAAAAAAAACATACAATCACTGAGATTACAACAAATTGATATCGTATAAAACGACAAGAATAGACTAGAAAGATATATTCTAGTTACTATACTCAGTGAAGGATGGAGTAAAACATTGTAAATTGCAAACATTATTCTCCAGAGCTAATGATTTTTACGTATGTTTGATTTCTGTGCAACAGTCACAAAATGGGATGGACATAACAACTTTTAAACCATATAGATGTAAATTTAAGAAATTATACATACCCGATATTGGTAATGATCTATCAACTAGACTAGTTTAATGTAATGGACCTAATCATTATAATGCAAATAACGAAACATAATTCGGTTAAGAAAAAAACAGATTCTTATAACTGTCACATGTTTATTTATGTCGGAAGATTAAATCGTAGCATGAGAAACTTGCTTGTTAATATTAGTACCAATTCAATGTAAGTGACAAACACAATATGTCAGTAACACTGTTGGATGTCAGATCCGTGGTCTAGAGGTTAAGCATTCGCGCGCGAGACCGAAAGTTCTGAGATGGAATCCCGCATACGGGATCATGGATGCGCGCTGCTGGGGAGTCTCATACTAGAACGAAAAGACTGCCAAGTGCTTCCAGGTTTTCAATAGTGGTCTAACATTGATCGATTCGTGTTCTCAAACAATATGAATAATTTCGATAACGATGAATTATGAAGTTAATTAGATTGGAGACAGTGCTAATTAAACAAACGTACGCTGATCATTAAGATTTAGATAACAAGATGGTTAACTTATAAACAATAATTATGATCCTTGGAATTATGGTAACATTTTCATACAGAATTTATAAAGAATCAAGAGAATGAATGCAACCATTGTAATAGTTTAAAGATGATTAAATCTGAAATTAGATTACTTATTTGTAAATATACTCACCTGACAATAAATCATTCAACTAATTTCATAAAAATTAAGTTATAGTATACATATTATCCAATAAAATACGTTTGATGATATTAGATGAGACATTCATTTAAACTGTTGTTATAACAACTAGTAAATGAGATTGATTCGCCTGTACAACACGTCTATGAAGATCCGGAGCAGCTAGGCCAAGTTGTGCATGGGAAAAATCGCATGGTGGAAAAATATGCACAACATAAAGTCCCTATATGTATATAAATATATGAAAGAAACATACAGTCATTATATTATGGAGTGTTAATAAAGTGTATTAAAAAAAACTTTACGAAACAAGTAAAAAATGAAGTACAATTTGTAAAGCTCCACTAAAAATCGACTAAGCAACATTTAAATCCGCAACCTGCTGATATAAAAAGTATGAAGGATAGAAAGTTATTTCTTTCATTCAGTCTTTTTCACTTGTCATCAATAGCATAAAACCTGTTACATATAAGCATCAGTTCATATTGTTACATAAGATCAGAAAAACCACAAGGAATTATTCGTCGCAGAAATAATAACAATCGACTAAGATGGTTGGGCCACGTGTTTCGCATGCCCGAACATCGATTACCACGACGTGCAATGCTAACCGGTGTTCGGGATGGTTGGAAAAGTTAGGGGTGGCCAAACCAAAACATGGCATCAGTGCTTAAAGTCATTAACTTCTAGTCTGAGCCATGTTGGTAGATGCAAACTACTTGGTTGAGGTCCGCGTGACAATCGTAACCAATGATTGGAGACTCTGGGTGACATGATTCAGAATCGATCACAATGGCGTAGGTGTATACACTCTCTGTCCTCCTTTAAACTATGAGATTGCTTTATATATTTCTTTCTTCCTGTACTATATCCTTATATGCAATCCACCACTGAATTAACTACTTCCATGAATTTGGTATTCATCTTGTGCTAATGAGGTATGGCAACTTGGACCGATGAATATATGTGCCGGGTCATATATATATATATATATATATATATATATATATATATAAACGTTGAATGTGGAACATTTCGAGCTATTCTATACCATGTCATCTAGATTTCGAACATTGTTTACAATAACCATCAAGATCCAAACCTGTCACAACATAGTTCAAATGAACAGTCAGTGATTAACAGTATAAAGTAAGAGTATTTGCACATGAACTGAGAAGCAGGAAACATTCTATTCATTATAAACTATACAATCTAATTAAATATCATCATCTCTATACCAAGAGTGATTTTACTAGTTTTCAATAAAATATTTAAGAAAACTATTTAATAAAATATAAAATTCTTCAATTTTAGACACAATTTCATCATCATTCACCTTTTTCAATCTTGTTCTACAAACAAACTATAAACTTTAAGATTATTCGCCTAATATATATGATCATCATTTTCATCAATGGTCTGGACTGAATAATAATACTAATAACAATAACGGTTCTAATTTAGTCCAACAAAAGAACATTGAAAACAAAGCAGTTTTTTTTGCAACATCTCTCTCTCTCTCTCTCTGTACACAACACAAACGATTGCTGAGACAGAAAGAAAACATAAAGAGTGTGTGTATGTGAGAGAGAGAGACGTTAAAAAGAGGCAAAGATTAGAAAAAAAGAATTTATTTTAGGCCAGTCGTGTCTAACCTAGGCTGTAATTTTTTTCTTTCTGTCTCTTGCTACATGGTTAAAATATGAACAAATAAATGAATGAAATTCGACCAATCACAAATCAACATAGGTCAGACTGCATCAATATAATCGATTTTATTCAGTCCAAAAATGGATTAGTAGAGACAATGGTTATATGATGCCAGTGTTTTGCATAGATAAATAAATATATGTAGGCCAAAAAGATCAGTATCTTATCGATCGATACTAGTTGCCCGGGCAGATGTAAATGGGCAAAACGACCATAACAAAAAAGAATAATGAATAGTGAAAATAGAAATACTAATAAATAATAAAAAAAATAATAGAAATAATAAAACCCTATCTCCTCTTCTTTCATCCTATTCAGGTAATCGCCCTATAGCCTTATCGTCATCATGTGCCTTTAGTAAATCAATAAATAAGTTGATGAATTGGTTAATGGTATACCGACGACATATAGCAGTAGTATTTTTCATGATTAGATTAGTTAAAAAAAGGAGAGAAAAGAAACAAGAATTTGAAATGTCAATTATTATTACTATTATAACGGATATTCAAGATTATTCTATTGAATATTCCAATAAACAAATATACAGTTTCCATATAATACTTGTTCAATACAGGTTGATAATCGGAGCAAGGTAGTTTTTTTTATTTAAAGAAAAAAGGACGAGTAAATTGAGATTACAATATAGAAGTTGACTGTGTATTATACTCTTCGATTTGCAAAACATATCCATTAAAATGAGAGAACATATATAGAGTACTAGCATTTGATTACAAGTGTCTTTGAAGTTTTGCTTGTGTATGTTGAGAGGTTAGACAGAGTATTAGGCAAATAAGGAAAAAATCATTTGGTCATCATGTGAGTCGGTTCAGATTTATTTTACTGTATAACCAACTAGGAACTAATTTGCTGTTCAGTGGTTAACTAGTGAAGAAGTAGTTTAAAGGGAAGCTACGAGTGAAATAGCGAAGACAGGGTATCAACCTGTGAAATGACTAACTAATAAAATAAACCAAACTCAACCTACTTGTTGATAATCTGGATGCCCGACGTTGATAATACCAGCAGCCATTTTCTCTTGCATGTAACGAATGAAATTTTCATTTAATATTTGAGTTTGTTGTGCTAACTCAACAGGACTACTGCCAGCAGGAAGCGCTAGACAAGCACATGAAGCACCTTCTTGATTAAGTTTACGTTGAACACCTTCTAGTTGTGCTGGTTCCAATCGCATTCTTTGAACTATACGTAAAGGTCCACCACTTGTGATTAAGGAGAATTGTGGTTGACCGCCGCCTCCAGAAGCTAGTAACGTCATACAAGCATTAAGTAAATTATGATTTCCTTGAACAAAATGTAGAGCGACACGAGTTTCCATGTTTTTCAAAGATAAACGACCTTGCCAAACTAAAGGATAGGACTGTAAAAACATTTAAATAAACCTCGTGTTAATGTAATAAAAAAAATTATCGTTTCGTCTTATAACAATGAAAGATTTTATAGGTTCATGAACCAAAACGCAAGTTTTTCCAACTACTTGTGGAATATGCTAATTTTGTGAATTTGAATGTAACAATCCAACTAGACAGACCGAAACTAATTAGGTTTGAATGAATGGTTGGAAACTGTTAAAAATCTTATTTTCTAAGCGATACCTAAAAAAACAAATTGATCTTTAGAATCAATGTGGTAAGAAGTGCGTTGAGTGATGTAACGTCATTCAGTAAAAAAAAATGTCGTTACAAAGTTCGCCACCTAAAGATATCGAAACTTTAGAAGCGGATGTAGCCATGATTTGGATTGAAGAATTTTTTTGTATGACCAAATTATTTTAATGAATATTCAAGTGAAGAGGGTAACCATAATTAACATAAAAATAGAACTCGACCACATTTCACAATATACAACTGTGAAACACAACTATGATCCTCAAAGGTTATATTGATCCTTTTAGCTTTATCTATTGTAACATTCACATTAAAACTTCCTAATTAAGATGCGTTGTAGATGACATTCTAGTCATTTAGTTATAAACAAGCAAGGGACCTGAAAGAAATGTGGATTGGTGCAAGTTACCAAAGTGCATTACCATGACATTTAAAAGAATATTGAGAACCATATTCAAGATAAGTGAAATCGGTATTTAAAAAGCAATTCCTTCGAAAACTATTTTAACAACGGTAAGTTTACACAAAGATACTTACTGAACCAAGCGTGTTCCAAGATTGGGCATCAGAATTAGGAGTAGTAATATTATTTATTGGAGGTGGGTCCGATCCTGGAAGACGAGATGAGACAACCGGTGGAGATATAATATTATTGCTACTAGGATCAACTTGAATTATGTCAGGATCTACAGGATTGATTAGTACAGGAGAAACGAAAGGAAGTCCCGAAGCTGGAGGTCGATGAGGACTTGAACTGTAAGTGATATTAGTCACAGGAATATGCTGCATAGTTAGCGATGGAGACAAACTTTTGGCACATATACTACTAGCTGAGTGAACTTGAGATTCAGAATGACTGATTGGAATCGATGGTTTGACAGGACCACTACAACCCCGATTATCAAGAAACTGTTGAGCTACATGTCTTAAATAAGGATTAACTTGTGTATCGGTTGTATTATCATTAAGGTTACGTCTCATATTAGAACCATTAAGAGCTGCATGAAATAGTGCAATAGCAACAGAAGGTTCAACATTACCACCCAGACGATCGATTAATGTTTGCAAAACAGGATTGGCTAACGGTGAAACAGCAGAATTTCGACCAAGTACAACTGGTGATGTAGGCGGAGGTGGCGCATTTGAGACAGTTCTTGAAGTAATCTGAGGATGACTAGTACCGTTAGTTACGATTGGTGATGGAGGTGGAACGAATGATTGTTTTGTTGTGCATATGTTATTATTTTGTTGAGAATGAGACACCAAAGAGGAATGTTGTGAAATTGGTGTCGGGGTAACACTAGTGTATTTACCACACGAAGCGAATACGGGCGCAGTATTCAATAATTGGTCGCATGTAGTACTAATACTACTACTATTACTAGCAATAGTACTATTAGTAACTGTAGTAGCTGATGCCAAATGTGGTCTCACGGGTACAGACTCCATTGCCGTTTGTAAAGGATAAAGTTGGGACGTTGTTGTTGGAATCGAAGTAACTGATTCACTCATTGTGCAGCCAGATTGCAATATCTTAGGATGTTGATAAGATGTATTGTTTATATTACTGTTTACGTAGATGTTATTATTAAACGGTAACTGAGCGACTGAACACGTGGAAACTACTGGTGTAGTATTGAGTTGATGAGTAGCAGTAGTTAAACGATTATTATGTGCAGTATTGGTTAAATTTGCTGAGGTTACACAAACTGGTGGAGTAAAAATTCCATGTGAAACTTTAGTTTCATTGTGAGTAGATTCAGTCGTGTTTTTGTTTATATTCAATGAATCTTGTTGGTTCCAGTTAATGTTAGCTGCTTTCCCTTGATTATTGTTCGGATTTGTGACAGATAAAACAGCCGCCTGGACGGTTTTAGGGAATGAACAACAACAAAAAAATGTAACCATGGAAAACATAGAATAGCATGATTATTGTGAGCATTTTGAGGTGAATTACATTCAACTATAAAATATTGACATAGTTTTTTTTTCAAAAAGAAAAAGAAAAACGAGAACAAGTAAAGCCCTTTTTGGTTGTAATCACCTGTTGGAAAACACAACTGCTTTTCATTATCAGTTACTTTGGAGTTAAAATTCCGACACTACTCTATGACCATATATTACTTCATATGGTCACGAGAATACACATACAAACAGCTGATTGTTCTACATTTTTGGAGAAAGAAACTAATAATAACATTTTCATTGAAATTGGTAAACAATAATGTAACTCAACGACCGACTGGATGTTCATACATCATTTATTAAGAGGAAGCACGCGCCTATGCAATATGTGTGCGAGATCCAGGTTCAAAAATATGTGGAAAGTGTGGTTGGAAGTTAAATATTTAAAATAAACGATCAGTCATAGTCAATATAGGTATGAAAGGTATTAGAATGTGAACAAAGAGATTCCGAGCGCTGTCAAAGTATGGAGGTGGTTGTAACAAGGCGAATTATAATATTTCAATGAACGACCTATTCGAACATTTTCCTTTCCGTTATGGGAAGACAGTGTCGCTAGAGATGCTAGTTGTTTATAGGGGACAATATATATACATATATCTCACCACAACTTTCTGCACAGTACGGAGTACTACTCTACTCTCTCGGACCTCAAGTTTGTCACTTCCAGTTTTACTACTCTGCAATCGGCATATTCTGAGATGACAGGATTTAAAAGAACACGTATTCTAGCCAATATAGTTATACTGGAACACTATAATTTGAAAGCCTAACCATTACGTTATTTTGTAGCAGCTACGGTGTTCTCTAATTGTGTTATCAAATGTTCAGTCTTTCTCAAAATTTAGTTAGTACATTATTTCTAACTCTTGTTATTTTCATCTTGCAGTGTTAATGTGCTATAACAATTCGGTCTAAAATCACATGCACTTTAGTCCCATGTTCATGATGACTAACTTATTGAATGGAATAAGTGTGTCACAATTCAAGTTAGCACATAAGGTGGCGTGCTTGAATATCTGGGCTACCTGCTCCTGCTATCTAGATATTTCAACAAGTCATCTCTTTCCTTGTTTGTTTTAACAGATCATTATGTTAATTAATTGCACAACCTATTCAGGTACGCTGTACAAATTACAAAATATACAATCGGAGACATTATGATGGCTGGCAATATGGATTGGAAAGAATGAATATTATTCAGATGTCAACTTTTGAAATGGTAATATCTAACTGGTGGCCACCCAATATTTATCTTCAATATTGATCAAGAACTAAGAAACGGAAACTCGCTAAAATTTTGATGGGGCTCTGTTCCCTGAGCTAGATGGTTTGGTCGTGGAGCTTTCATCGTTCTTCTGAACGATATCACAAACTTCAGATAGAAGTGAAGCGTTCGAATTTCTCTATATGTGGTTCACAGCTTGGTACACCTAATGTGTGCTGATGTCGTTCAGAAGAACGATGAAAGCTCCACGACCAAACCATCCAGCTCAGAGAACAAAACTCCATCAAAATCATTCACCTGAGCTACAAATCTTCTTCACTCGCTGAAATATTGTGTACTGAGAATATTATACCAAAAATGTAATATTGAATATAACTAATAAAAAAGCAGATCAAAGTGATAAATTATTGTTTAAAGTCTGAGAATATCTAACTATTTTATTCATTTTGAATAGAAAAGACTGTAAATAATATATAATTAAATAAAGTTCAAATTAAATGAAAACAAATATTAACAAACCTTTATATTAGCAGCAGCCTGTTGAGCTGCATTCACAGGTAGTGTAATAGTTGCTGCAGAAATTGTACGTGAATTATTATTACCAACAACTCCAGCTGCTGCCGCTGGACCAGTCACTGTTACTTGACTACCTGGTATAAGTTGTAAAGCAGCAAGAAGAGTATTGAGAACTGCACTTCCTGTTCCAATATTGATAGGATTTCTTGAATCATTCTTGCCTAAATTACTAGTTTTTCCAGTCGGGATTGTAACAGCGGCTACAATTGGTTCACTAGTTATAGGAAGAGAAAATGGCATTCCTGTTGGGGTGTTTGATATATTAGTTACTATTGTGGAATTAACCGTTTGTAATGACTGGTTAGTTGTAATACTTATAGTAGGGAAAGTAGTAGTAATAGTAGCAGTAGTAGTAGTAATGGTTGGAGTACACGTTGATATATTGGTTAAAATACTAGGTAACGATATAGATTCATGTGGTAATGGATTGTTGACAGAAATTTTAGATGACTGAATATTACTTGTATTAATAGTTGCTCCGACCGTAGTAGTAGCAGGACTACTAACAGTATTACATGACCAATTTTTGAGATAACTCTGAACATCAAAATGACCAGCACATACATCACTAATCACTTCATCTACTGTATCAACAGACTGGCTAGAAGTAACACAAAAAGTGGCCGGTGGCACATTTAACACAGAAGATTCAGATACAGATAATGAAGCAGTAGTGGTGCATGAAATTATCTCAGGATGTCTGACAGATTTCGTATCTAACACTACAAGTCCTGGTGATGAGTTAACTGGTGAAGATGACGAGGCAACCACCACAGTTGTAGAAGGAAGAGATTGAGAATTTGTGGTAGTCATGTTTTCAGCTGTAGTACAAGGCGTTTTACGAGTTTGGTGAACAGAATTAGGAGATGGACATAATGACGGAGATGATCGATGATGATGTAACTGAGCTGGATTGAAACCAACTGGTGATTCTTCATCAAAATTCGGTTCATAAGGATCAACAGATGTGTGAATATTACAGCTTTTCATTTTCTGTACACAATCAGCCGAGGACAACGTTGCACCACTATGCGCAACTTGGGAACAACTTGTCGTTATCACAGAATGACTTGAAATAATAGGTTCCGTTGATTTAGTAGATAGAGTTGATGGAGCACAAGAAACGGGAAGTAAAGTCGGATTAACTACAGTTGAAGATGTTAAAACTGTAGGTGTTGAAAATGAAAACACAGTGGTATCCTTTATCACAGGAACAGTGTTTGATATTGCCTTACTTTCAGAACGTCTTTGACGACGACTTGCATGATTAACAGGTAATGCAGTAGATGTATCTAAATTGTTATGACAAATATCAGGTCGCTTTAAAGATGTTTGTGAACCGTCAAGTGTACCACATGATTGCCTTGTTACACGAGTGCTATTCACCTGACCAACAGGTAAGTTGAGAGGTGCACAAGCATTGACTCCTGGAATAGAGGGTAGTTGTAGATCAGAAGATATTTTAGGATGAGGTAAACCAGATGTACAGGGTATAGTTGGATTTGGGACATGAACACTTGGTAAATCAACACTGCACGTCGCAACAGGATGACCAGACATATGTGCATTAGGACTTACTAACTTCGCAGATCTAGACGAAGAATTAGTTTTTGATGGAGAACATGTACTTACAGTAACAAGGAGTGAACGGCGTTGACCACTGTATGATCGCCTATTATGGGGTGAAGCCATTCCAGGCAAAGTATTTTGTTCGTTGTAAACTTTAGGTGTTTGATTCATGGATATAGTCGATAACGTTGATATAGGAACCGACATTGAAGAGGTAGTTGGATGGTGAGTAGAATGGTGACAATGAGCAGCAGCCGCAGCTGCCTGTTGATTTTCTTCAACACGTTCAGCCTTAACTCGTTCAATAACACTTTGAACATAACGAGTAATATCATGTACTTCAGTCGGTTGAGAATTCAATGACATTGAAGACGATATAGATGTCATCGGTTTTACATTACTCAAGCATGTTTGACGTGGAACTGTATGATCTACTTGAATGACAGTTTCAGGTGATTTTTCGCAAGCTTTAAAGTTTACAGGTTTATTGTCAAGAATTAGGGGAGAGTTAATTAATTTAGGAAATGTACATACTGAACTGAAAGAGACTGAATCATGTGGTGAGACAGATGATGTTGATTGAGTGAAAATAATAGAAGTAGGAACACAAGATATTTGGTGAAAAATATCATTCTTTGGTGATAATTTTGTTGTTATTTCCTTGGCAAGACTTGTTTCATTGACTACTGTTATTTCTGAATGAGTAGAATAAGATAAATTAGTTTTTAGAGAATCTACAGGATTATTCAAAGATGTAATGTATGCAGTAGAAGAGTCATTATTTGTAACATTTTCAGCTGAAGGTTTAAAGGAACTGATGGTTCCTGTTGCATTTGAATGATCAACATCGTCATGATTATTACTTAATGATGGTACATTATTGCTTTCAAAACTATGAACAGTAGAACACTGAGAAACAACAATAGTTTGTAAGAGAGGAGGAGAACAATTTTCTGCTTTATTAGATTTTGATTCAGTTGGATTTGGAGAAGGAACTTTGGATGAAATTTCTTCAATCATGACAGAACTCAACGGTTGCTTGTTTGTTGTTTCTGGCTTGATTGATAGATGTTCATCAGAGTGGATTTGTTGATCTCCACCAGTTGGAGACATTTTGTTCGACAATGTGGGTGAATCACATCGATTTAATTTGTCGTGATTATCATTATCGTTATCATTAATGGATACATTAAAACTACTATCAACTTTCTTTTCACCTGTACCACATGATGAACAAGAAGATAAAGAATGCTGATTATTCACGCTGATAGAAGATTGTAGTCTTAAAGTAGTATCTTGAGGTTTCTCTTCATCTGAAGACTCCATAATGGAATTTGACAATTTTTCTACAAATGAATCAGATTGATAAGTAACAGTATTTGGTTCAGGTTTACTATCTAACAATTCACAACCCTCATCGTCGTCATCATCATCGTCACCATCATCAAATTCTAAATGAACTGGATTCGGTGAACTTGAAGCTATACCAGAACGCCACTCATCATCATCTTCACCATCAGTGAATTTCAAGCATGGACTATTTGCATCGTCATCATCATCTTCATCAAGTTCACATTGTTCCATCGGCTCAGTAGATATAGTAGATTTGGAATTGGCAGAAAAACGGTCTGAATCCAGGAGAGCATCAAATGCAGAATCACCATCTGCATCTCTAGATTGAAGAGTACTAGCAGTAGTGGTATTCATGGTGCACAAATTACTCAAACACTTTTTTTGTTTTCTATTAATGTAGTCTGAGTGACAACGGCTAGAATTAGGACTGTGAATATGTGAATCTAAACCGAATACATTGGATTCATCAGTCTCACTATGTACAGGAGACGACATTTGTCTATCTCCTCCTCTATGATGAAGATAAGAATCTTTCATACTATGATGATCACTTGTACCAGTAGTGTGAGATACTGAATCAGAACAACTTATAAAGCTGCCTTTCACATCTTCTGCTTCAGAATCTAATATAGTGCCATCATCAGAAAAGTACGGTTTTGGACTGTGAATATGATGTTGTTTTCTATAAGTTGAATGATGGTGTTTCGGTGAGGTGAAATGTCGATGATGATTTGTATGATTATAGATTTGGTTAGGACAATCATTTTCACCAATATTTTTTTGTAGTGTAGTTAAAACTCTTTTACGTTTATTAGGATGTAGATCGGTAGTTGTGGGTCTTGGTGAAAGAACTTCATTACGTTGCCTTTTAAGCAAACCACTATTAACAAACGATAATTTTTCCGAAGATTTATGTTTATCATTATCATTGGTCGAAGGTAATTGTTTGGAACATTTATTATTTTGCTTATTGTGTGATTTTGATTTTTTCCCGGTATCTTTCCATTCTAATGCAGTTGAAAGACTGATAGACTTTTTGTTCGGTTCACCAGATCGGTGATGATCTATATCATAATTATTATTATTACGACTGAATGGATTAGAAGAATTAAAACTTGAGAAATTTGTATTTTTCAACTGATTCAACTTGTTTGTTGAAAAATGAAGTTTTCGTTTTGTTAAATTTGATGGATCTAGTTTACTATCATTAGTTGAACACGATAAAGATGAACTTAACTGACTTAAAGCATCATCATCATCGTCATCTTCGCCACCATCATCATTATCACTAAGGTGGTGATTTGACCATTTACGGTTTGGGACCGCAGCAGCGGAGGCAGCAGTGGACGGTTTAGTTGGTCGAATACACTCATGATAAGTAGCGGAGACCGGGAATCGCATGCCCAAACTTAATCGAGTTAAAGTTTCCGGTGGAGAATTCGAGTGACATTCACCTTCGCTTGATAATGAAGATGATAAAGAGCTGACAATACTTCGACGACGTTTATTTCTCGAGTTTAAATTTCTGGACATTCTTCGTGAAAAAAGATGTGACTCATTTGTATCGTTGCAAATTTTATCAGCATGTATATGAGTTGAGTGCCATTGAGACAGATGATTACTATCGCTGAGAAAAGAATGCATTGAAACAGTGTCACTTTTTTGACGATTACTATGCTTCTTGTTAGACGAACGGTTATTAGCATCGAATTTACATTTTGAATTAATAGAATGATGTGATTTTCCGCTTAATGAAAAGGTGTTATTAATTTTACCACATTGCTCATTACTAAACGAATCTGGAGAAGAAATGGGAACATTGTTATTAATATTGGATTGTGGTGGAGACTTGTTTGATTGTTCTTTCTTTCTTTGTTTCTTACTATTTTTCTCTCTGGTAGAAAAACTTTCAAGTTGTCGTTGACGTCGTTCTTCAGCTTCTTTATTTGTACGACGCTTAATTTTATCATACATCGACTCATAAACAGGTGATCCGCTACTCCACCAATCTGTAATATCATTGGTGGCTCCACCAACAGTTGGTGCTTCTACTCCAATATTACAACGTCTAGGATCAATAGATGTATGTCGAGATGTTTTACATCTAAGCGGAGGAGCTGAAACTGGAGTTAAGGGCAGTGAATCATTACTTTGTTTATCTTGGTTTGAAATAAACAACTCAGTATTTTCGGAAAGACTACAAGGAGAGATTAAATTACTAGGCTGCGACGATCGATTAATACCAGTAAGTTTTATTGAAACCGTTAACGGTGTTGTAGATGAAGTACATGAGGGACTATTTGAACCTGGGGAGGATGAAGCCAATGCAGGGTTAGAAGATAAATGAAGTTTTAAGCTTGAAGGAGAGTCACTGAATGTTCGCGATTTATTTGTATTCCCACAGTGAGAATTATCATTACCATTGGATTGTGAAACATTGCGTTTCAGTGAAGGAGATGACGAAGTAACTTTAATTTGGCTATTGGAGTTAGATTTGGAGATGACTACAGATTGAAAGTGATTCATTGTTGAATTATTGCTTGTTAATGGACTACTACCAGTGCTGCCTCCTCCACTACTATTTGTACTGCTGAAACTAGGACCACCACTGCTTACTCCACTGCTGGCACTGACAGAGCAAGCTGTTGGAGTTGGACTAACTCTAAACTCGCTCATAGTTAAAACTGTAGGCGTATGAGCGAGTGGTTGTGCGGATGTCGATAATCTCAAAGACGAATGATGATTAGGTACTGGACCAATAAATTCGGACTGACAACCGTTAGGTAGAGTTTCACACCCATTATTCGGCGTTCGTCGGATATTATTATTTCCTATGATGGAAGAGGAAGATCCTCCAGGACTAGAGAGGCCACCGCTACTAGCGGCCGAACTACGAATAGGTGATAAAACAGATGAATTCACTGTCATAACTCTTAGAGGTTGTTGAACAAAAGACGAATCAGATGGTGTATCTGCTATCCAAGATGAATATGAATCAGCAGACTTTGAACTTTGTGTGGTTGACGAGTGTGACGAATCAGTTTTCCTACAGGACTTATTTTCTTTAAGTTTTCCAGTACTTAGAGATTTATGAACTTTTAATTGACCGCAATTTGAGGATGAACTGCGTTCCGATAGTTTAGCTGAACGTTTGTTGTCATGTGCATCGATGGACTTTGATTTATGGTTACTTTTTATAGACGGAGCCTTGGTAAGACGACTTGATGAACCAGTACATTTAGAAGATGCTCCAGATGAAGCACTTATAGAGCTTCCTGAGGATGATATTGATGTACTACTAATACTACTACTGCTAGTACTATCACTACTCACACTTGTACTGCTACTACTACTACTGCTACTGGTACTTAGGCTACTCGGGCTACTGTCATGTGATCGTTTTAACCGATGGTGATAAGTACGATCTGATAATTGATTCGATTGATTGGTAGATTTTAAACGTGATGACTTTCGATTGGAACATTCCCTTGAAATTATTTCAGACTGTTTTTCTAGAAACAAATTACTACTATTCTTCACCTCGTTAACTTCTCTATAGACATCTGTCAAAGGATGACTAAGCAAATTGGTTTTTTGATGATTATGGTTAGAGGCTAGTCCAGAGGTGTGATGTGTTAATGTTTGTGTTGACGTTCGATATGAAGTCTTAGTGTTAGTATTCAACGATGAGTGAACAGTGAGAGGGTATACGGAACCGGGAGAAGAATTACGACTATTGCAATCAGTCGATTTCGAAGTCAATGTCGTGATTGCTGTAGAAGCGGTAGGTGGTTGAAAATTACTGGTTTTATTTGATGAATCCCATCGGTCCACAATATTGGTTGATGAAATAATTCGAACACGATGAGAATTTAAAGATGATCTTGAATAGATAAAAATAAAATAAAAATAAGCAAGATTAAAGTTGTTACCTTTGGAAGGCTAAGTCCTAAAATAATGAACTAATGAGAACATACAGTTTAAAGAAGCAAACAAGGAAAATCAACTTCTTATTTAACATTTGTTAACACTATGAAATACGCATTTTAGAGAGGCACACAAGAAATAATAATGAGCGAAACAGTTCACTATTGGTCATTTAAGACCAGATTCTGGTTAACTGTTTTCTTTTTCATTATAACTGTTAACTAGAAATGCTTGAATGTTATAGGTGATTTGTGATTTTACTCTGCAATATCAAAACACAGTGTAAGTGATGTTGAATCACTCAGACTAGGAGTCAATTACCAATAACTACTGTAAAAACTCTATATAGCACAAATAAGGCATAAGCTATTACTCAACAATCATTTAGTGTTTAATATATTATCTAACTCTTTTTTCCCATCGTGAATGTACCTTTTGTCCATGATGGAAATATTTGAAGACTATACCCTTGAAAATTGGATCTGTGCAAATGTCTATTCTTGAGGATAATTGTGAAACACCAACTCAAGTTAACTATAGTCCCGAAAAAAACAATCTGAATGATAGATATATTGTTAGCAAACAATGTCAGTGAGAGTAAATAGCATGAAAACTGTTCAAGAAGAATGTTTTAATACATTCACTTTTTTTCCTAAAAAAACGAAGTAACTAAACCAAATGCTTATATATACATACATACCTTGACGCATTTAACTGTAGATTAGTGACAATGCTTGATTGTCTAGGACTAGCAAAATCAACTGCTATAGGACGTCGTGTTGAAGTTTTTACATTCTGACCAGTTATTGTATTTCCTGTTGTTGATGTAGAAGAAGTTGTAGTGATCGTTGGTGTAGGAGATGAATAACGTTTGGAACAGCGCAATTCAGTTAATAGACGAATTGCATGTTCAGTTGAATTTAATTTTATATAAGCTGCACAATGAGGTGGAGATGTAGAAATCAATGGCGTAGACTGATTACGTGTACTTTGATCAGTACGATTGATAAGTGCAATCTAAAATAAATTTACAATTATTAATAATAATTATTAATGCATACTGACTTTCAAAGGAAACATTTCCTTTATTCACTAAAAGTACTTTATTTACTTCTAACAGAATAAAAAACACCTTCAAAGACATTTGAATATCAGGATATGCATAGGCAATACAAACGGGATGTCAATTGTTGAGGTAAAAAGTGGTTATAAGTTTAGTAAACTTAGAGAATAGAAGCATCAAAGTAACTAGTATAAGGAGAAGCGATTTATTGCGTAATAGTGATTTAGTCGACACACACACACTGGATAAAATCTTGTGAAAATCTGAATAAAACTTATGTTTAACAACTAACACTAATTCATCGAATGACATAATAGTTTGGAATAGTAATCTGTTCCATGTGGCTGATAATCTTCAGAATAAACTTGTAAAGGAAACTGCTTCTATTGTTGGACTGTGTTATATACCAGTCAGGTAGGTGCTAATATTGTAAGGAGTAAGTGATAAGATTTCAAAGATGATTTTTCAATGTCCATTATTTCTACAACGACGAGTCTGTTTTCTGTGCTGATGGTTGTGAAATCCTATTGCTCGTTATTCAAATAGTGTTTGTAGAAATTTAAATGTTCAGTCTATTTGAAATTATTAAATCGAATCGTTGATAATGATGCCTATAGCTCCATTTGGAATTATGAAAATAATCTCTGGGATCATTTCAATTACTGAAAGGCGATGATGATAATAGTGACGGCAAAGACAATGCCATTGTTTCTTAGGTCATGTCGGACATAGATGAAAATAAAACAAAGCTTACAATAAAACTCTGGTGGGGACGAAACAAACTAAAGAAAAGTGTATTTTTTCCAGACAGATACACACAAACATGTTTGTATCGATTTGGGAATAGGTTATTTTTTACTTTCCCTCTTCTCTAATTGTTTTTTCACCAATACAAGATAAAAAGATCAGATATAGTAGACACAGAATAGCAGTCTAAATAGATAGAGAGAGAGAGTTAAGTACTGAGATGGGATTTACGGTGTGTAGTGGATGATGAGAGAGTGAGATGATGATCAGACATTATTGATGAAAGGGGACATTATGAACTAGACAAATAAAAGTATGCAGGTAATAATAATGTAATTATCATTATTCTAGTTTTATGTACATCAATATAGAGACAGGAAGTTATATTATTATGATATGATATGTTGGGCAATTAAAAGGATATGGAAATGTTTACTGTTTTAATCGATGAATTACTTTAAATAAAATATAGAGATTAGTATAGGGAGTGGCAAATAATGTTTGGAGTAGAAAAAAATAGTACTGGTACTATACCATTTTACAAGCCTTTCTTAGGCAATGAAACACACATAAGATCCTGTTAACTTGATCATCAATGAACAGGTTGGTGCGGGGGGTAGTTCAAACAATGTTAGCAGTGACACATGGTTTACAGTGAAGATGTGGTTTATTGTTTAAACCTCTAAATGCAAGTTGTTGCGTCAATACCTGAACTAAGGATAGGGAGTGAAGTAGTCGAACGCGTTGACAACTTCACTTACCTTGGAAGTCTGATCACCCCTAATGGTTTGGTGTCTGACGAAATCTCAGCACGGATTCGAAAAGCTCACTTGGCTTTTGCCAACTTACGTCACCTATGGCGAAGGTGAGATATCCGTCTATCAATAAAAGGACGAGTATACTGCGCGGCAGTTCGTTCTGTTTTAATTTACGGCCGCGAAACATGGCCATTAAGAGTAGAAGACACTTGTAAGTTACAAGTATTTGACCACAGATGCCTAAGAAATATTGCTGGCATCTACTGGGATCACCGGGTAAGTAATAATGAGGTTAGACGCAGGGTATTAGGGAAGGATGGTAAATCAGTTGATGAGGTTATGAATCTTCATCGACTGAGATGGTTGGGCCACTTGTTACGCATGCCCGAACACCGATTACCACGACGTGCAATGCTAACCGGTGTTCGGGATGGTTGGAAGAAAGTTAGGGGCGGCCAAACCAAAACATGGCATCAGTGCTTGAAGTCACTAACTTCTAGTCTGAGCCATGTTGGCAGATGCAGACTACTTGGTTGGGGTCCAAGTGACAATCGTAACCAATGGTTGGAGACTCTGGGTGACATGGCTCAGAATCTATCACAATGGCGTCGGTGTATACAATCTCTGCCATCCCTCAAACTGTGAGATTAAAATCGCTTCATATCTTTCTTTCTACGAACTAATTCTTTCTTCCTGTACTGTATTCTTAGATGCAATCTTTCTTTTATATATTACCACCTCTGAATTAACGACTAGGAATCTGGTGTCCATCTTGTTGTGTTAATGAAGTATGGCAACTTGGAACGATGCATGTATGTGCCTGGTCCTACGTTGTAGCTGACTGACTGACACTACGTGTTTCTTACTTTTCAACTATAAAGCTTTTTTTAAGAAACAAGGCAATAAACAGTTGTCAAAGTAGTAGGCTTCACTTTCTATGTTTATCCTCTAAACAAAAACCGTGCATTTTCCTTCGCCCTCTGTATGTTAGAAATGTAGGTGGGAAACGAATCAATTGCTTCATGAAACCTATGAACTGGTACAAATGAGCATGTATGAATCAATGATAAACAAGGCGAAAAATATATACCGACTAGAATAAACTGTACAAGTTTAGTAACATCCTAACATTTTGTCAACTTTCTATTCAAAAAACAAGTGAGACTTAGAGTTATAGTGATGGATAAGAAAAAAATCTGAGTATATATGAGTCTTGATGTAGAGACTAAATAACTCGGAGTTGAATGTCACTTTAAACACTCATACTTGAAACATGGACGTTTTAGCCAATTTTTAAATTAATACACTTTTCACTGTTAAAATTCTGAAAGAATCCAAGGAGTGAAAGGATATAAAAGAATTTTAACCATTACAATTAGTTAGTAAATAATACAAAGGGTTACAAATGATCAGAAAAAGATAATAAACTTAGTAATAACTTTAAAATTACTGTAGGGGCGGGAAAATAGAGATTTATTCAATTTCATACTTAACATAAACGAATGGTCTCAGTTAAGGAGCCACCGAAAATCCGGAAGCACTGGACAGTGGTATTGAACTCTACAACCCCACCAACACTGGATACCGACTCAATGGTCTAGAGGTTAAATGCTCGCGCGTAAGACCGAAGGTTCTGGGTTCAATGCCTGGTGGCTTGTTCATGAATACACACTGCTCAGGAGCCAATACTAGCAAGAAATAGTTTCTCAGTACATCTTGGTTTTCAACGGTTAACTAGGATTATTTCGTGATATTAACTACGAAATAACTTTGGAATTTGATTTAAAAAAAGGGGAAAACAATATACGTTATTTTGGACAGTTTTCATATTCGTAAGAAATTATAAACGTCTCCTGTAACACGCAAATTGTAGTGTCTATGCGAACAAAACATCATCTTAGTATACTTGTGACAGTCTACAGATCACAATCAAATATAATGCAAAAGATTTATTAAAAGTGTACACCGGTGAACTGAATAGAGAAGTAATTCCTTTATATAAAAATGTATGATACATACAATTAAAAATCTGATTTGTAAAAACAAAAAACAAAACTGGTCTGAAAAATCAAACTTTAATCGCATCAATAACTTAAACGAAGTGAAATTAACTTCATATACACACCATACCTCCTGATGTGTACGCATAAGAAATAATAAACGCGAAAGAATGTGAGTGGGTGTAGTAAACTACAAACAGTTTTAAAAAAACGGGTAAGGGGATAAATACAATTTTAGGTAGTAGTGAAGATACATTTATAGACAAAAATGTCAAGTGTCTACATATTACAAGTGTAAACGTGTTTTTACTGAGGATACAAAAGGTCATAATGTGATGGTTGAAAAAAAAACTAATTTTTCCATGTAAAATTTCTGACTGTATACAAATGCATCAAATTTGACGTTAATCTGATGATGATAATAATAATAATATACAAGGGAACCAACATCATCGTCACTATGTAATCAACATAATTGTCGAAGTACATAGTACAGACAAGCAAATAGCACAGTTTAGGAAAAACAATCATGGTGAAAACAAATACACATACATACATGCAACATAACAGTGAAATTAGATGAATTTGTTTTTAGAAATTTTTGTGTGAAATATATGAAATTTAGAATTCCCGTGAAAAAAAAGACTACATTAATAAATAGTCAAACAATTACATGATTTCCCTATTTCACTAATTGGGATCAAATTCATATTGAAACTATAATATACAATACTAGTGGGTTACTTAGTTGTAACTCTCCCTATATATACATGGGGAAAATTAATAATACTTACTTCTTGGACGGGAGAAATTTGTGATAACGTATGTAATAATTCTTCATCTGTCAAATTAGCCAATGAAGGTGGTAGGTCTGATATCCATAAACTAGTTGTCGGTGTACTTGGTGTATAAGCAAGTGAGAGTGGTCGACCACCTAAACGAAGCGGTTCACGAGCATGAGCATTCATTGCACGAATAGGACCACGCATTTCAGCGAATTGAATAAGAGCTGAACTAGAACTGGGTTTAAGTTGAACATTCTAAAAATATGGGTCAGATAGGGTGAGAGAAATAATAGTGCAATTACAATTCGATCAAATGTTTAATGGAAGACTATATTGTGTGAAAAAATTAGTAAGACGTAATAAGGAGGGATGAATAAGAATACAGATTCAAGTTAACATTCTATATGTGTCATTTCAACACTAACAATTTTATTCTATTTTGTTTGAAAATCCTAAACTCATATGCTTTAAACGATGTACTTTGCCCTTAATCTGGACATTTTTTCGGATTATTAATTTGGATATATAATTGTAGAATCTGAAGAGAATTTACGGAGAAGAATATTCTTCATTCAAATATTAGTCTTTTAATATGATGGGGATCTTTAAACAACTCTAAAAATAAACAATATGAGAGATTGAAAAAATTTTGTGGTGAAGAACATAGTTGAGGAATTTTACGAGAATATAAACATAGAACTGCCTCAGGAATGAAGACATCTTTCCCTAGGTGTACAAATATATGAAGGCTTAAGGAATAACAACCTGGGGATGACAACAACTAATGGGATATTTATTATCAGTCATAATTTCTAATCGACTTTGTTTTAAAACATTAATAGAAGTAAGCGTTTACCGCTTACTCTTTTCAGTGTACGAACGTTGATATTCTTTTAGACAACTGATAACACAAGCATAAATATACTGTTCTCTATTCTCTCTCTCTAATGATTGTTTGTATTAGTAAAGTAATACTAAAAAAAAACACTTAAAATATTACAATATATGCATATAAACTATCAGAAACTCACTATGATATCACCAAATTTACGGAACGCCGTCGTCAGTTGTTCAGATGTAACAGGTCCAGTAGGTCCAACAGTAAGACCAGCAACATGCAGTGTTCGTGTTGGTGATTTATTTACTGTTGTTATTGTTTGACTGTTATTTGATAAATGATCATCAGTTGAATGAGAGTTAACAGTTTTATTTAGTCCAGATTGTGTTGTAGTAGTAGTGGTAGTAGAAGTAGACAGTGAATTCATCAATGTGTCACTATTACTACTACCACTACTATTATTACTACTCGGCTTAGTAGTGTTCCCAATTAATGTACTTGAAGTTGAAGAACGTTTTAGAGAAAGTTCATCATTAACTGAAATGTAATGGATAAGAGAAAATTTTATCATTTTACCTTGAAATGAATCCAACACAAAGTATCTATCAGTTTAGGGGTTGTGGAAATTTTTAAGTTTTTGATTGAGATCATGAACCGATTGATGTTAGACCACCATTGAAAAACTGGATCATCAATCGGTTCATGATCTCAATCAAAAGCTTAAAAATTTCCACAACCCCTAAACTGATAATTACCATGTGCTCATTAGTGACTAGCTTCGTGAGAAAATTCTCGGAGTTCTGGTGAGAAGTCGTGACCAGTGGAGTTAATCCGTGTCAGGTAGAAACAGGTGTCTATCTCAGTACAATGGAAGATGGTCGCGCAACTTCGTGGATTGGTTGAAGTTAGACATTAACACCATTGGATGCCGGCTCAGTAGTCTAGTAGGTTAAGCGTTCGCATGCGAGACTAAAGGCCCTGGATTCGAATCCCGTGAGCGGGGTCGTGGATGCGTACTACAGAGGAGTCCCACAATAGGATGAAACGACCGTCCAGTGCTTCCAAGTTTTCAATGGTGGTCCCTAATATTGATCCGCTCTTGACCTCAATGAAATCATGGTTAGAACTCATCATTTCGGACAAATATGCAGGAGAAAATAACAATTTTATTCAACTAAAATGATAAACATCTAGTTGATTACGAGACATGAAATCAGGTACATAAAGGCAAAGATTCAAGTCCCTACATTACATCAACACACCAAGGCGAAATCATTATCAGAATTTTTAAAAACGATCAGCTTTGGTAAATTACAGTAAGCTACATTGATCTATATTACAGAAAAAAAGATAAAAAACTGTTAAGGAAAAGCCAACACAACACTTACCATTTGACCCTGGATGTAATTCAACTGAAACAGGAGTAGAGAATAGAATTTTAGCACCACCTTGAATTGCTTGGTAAGCACATTCGGCCTCTTCTGCACGTCGAAATGTTACAATTGCTAACCTAGTTGTATTTGTTGAACCATTATTTGTTGGAGGTAGAACCACTGATTGGATACGACCACATCGTCGAAATTCAGTAAATAAACTTTGTCTTAAATGAGCGTCAGATAATTTACTTGGAGGTGGGAGATCGCTAATTTTTAAACCACGATAAGAATTTGACATACGTGTTGTTAATGTGGAACTTTGAACTGGACGTAATACTTGACTGAACATCTGAACATTGTTAACAATATTTGATGAAGTGTTGTTGTTAGTTGTACGTTTAAATATCAGTGGTCCTCTTCCCAGTTGATCATTGTTAGGAAGTGAATGATGTGAATCATTTGATCCTTTATGAAGAGCGTTAGTATTCAACTCCCTGTCATAAATTTTTTTAAAAGACAATATTAATACTGGAGATTTTAATGATAAGAGATGAATTTAAATCTAATGTACAGAAATATTTCAGACAATTCAGAGTGAAATTCAATTAAATAGAAAATGTATTTATTTAACTCATTAGCTGGGTACCTAGCAGTGTACTCGGCTTCGAGTGTGAGTACTGGTGATATTACTTTGTTGTCCAAACCATAACAGGTAAGGAGTAGTTCGAACGAGTAACTTATAGAATGTAAATGGAACCTTTTAATCACTAAGCTACCAGTCCATCTCAAAGTGATCTGTATACAACCGCAGAAACACATGATTTATATGAATCGAATCGAAAATCTGTGTAATATTATACTTGTGAATTTATGGAGAATACAACTACAATCAAGTGTGCTGACCAACTTTATTCAATCTGACTGTAAATCGAGTATCACTGAATTATCGAGTTATACAATTTCGTCACTGTAACTAAATCATTAAGTTATATTGATCATTATGTGAAATAGTTTATACAATCAAATTAACCAATAACTTTTTGAAATATACTTTGCTTAAGTACATGAACATATAAAATAGTTTGATTAAAATCAGAGGAAACTTCATCTGATCAGAATTTTAATGTTAAACTACATAAAACTATGGTTGGGAATAATGAGAAGACAGTGGGTGATTACTAGGCTGGGGATTTTAAAAAAAGGGTATCTGCGTTTTAAAAACAGTTAGGTGATGATAACTTGGTAATTAAATCATTCACTCTTCATTCAACCATTAGGATACATATCCAAACTAGGTTATGCTTTGTACTTGAATTTTTGAAAACCAAGTAGTATCATTAAGTAAGAAAAAAACTAAGTTTTTTATGGATTTAGTGATAAAAACTAGGCCTAGAACATAGGTTGTCTAAGTGTGATCCTGATAAGACGGTAGTAAGTCGTCTTCGATATATATATAGGATGAATTACATAAGTCAGTACTTGATGGTAGGCTTCATTAACTAAAGTGAGTTAGCAACAAACAGTAGGTGGTGCACAAAAGATTTCCTAGATCATTCAGTCGACGCAATAAAATGGAGTGGAATATTCTTCTTTCTCGAAAGTTATTCATCATTTTCCTTTTTAAACTTCACAGTGAAATCGATTAACAGTAAATGTAATAACCAAGTATTGTGTTTGAAACCAAACGTATTTTAGGGGCAAAAATAAAACATCTTTGGATCTTAAATTGGTTTAATAAACGATGAGAATTCTGGAATAGCTAAAATATGAGTGACACTATTAGGGTAATTCTATACATCCAGGTAGAATGAGGAAAAGTTAAATGAACTAAGTATACGTATATATATTTAAAAAATATTGAGAATCGATTGAAGTTAAACATCTAAACCATTAAATACCAGCTCAGAGGTTTAAAGATTTAGAGATCGCCGCGAGATCTGAAGGCCCCGGGTTCGATGTGATCATGGATAAGCACATTTCTTAGACTAGGACGAAACAACTGATCAGTGTTTTCTGGTTTTTAACAAATAAGGATCGAAAGAATGAATTCGAAAAATGCAAAAATTCCTTCTCATTGATTGGTTAGCTACTTTAACATTAAGAAAACATTTGGAGTTTCATACAATTTGCTGAATGGACTGATGAGTTTAAACTTGAAACGACTTAGTTATAAAATACCATCAAAACTCTTTAAATAATGCTACTCATTTAAAAGGTGCTTAACACAAATATGTAGGAGTACTTTACCAAAAGGAAAAAAAATAGATTTTTTTCTACATATACGTAAACGCATAAAGTGTAAGCATCATTATGCATCTGACTGAAGAAAAACAATCGATTGCATTACTTACTAAAGGTATATTAAATATATTGTTGAAAAAAAGCAATAATCGAACGTGAATAATGCGAAAAGAACATGTATATGCATGAAAAAGAAATATAGCTGTCACAATATACTACTAAGTAGAACGAAATATATTACTGATTTAAACATGATTTACTTTATGAAAACAAATACATGAAGCATTGGTATACTTTCTTTGGTTCTTTCAAAAAAGTACTAGTTTTGAGAGAAGAGAAACAAATATGAACTATGTATAGATTTTGAATGATGAACCTATTTTCTTTGTCAGGATGAATAATGAGACAAATATCAAGCGAAAATTCGTGTACTTGGCTCTAACTAAAATTGATTGTATAAGACTAAGTGACAATTCACTATTTGGTTAAAACTGAAATTAGAGGAACAGGGTTAGTTGAGTGCTAAGTGATTGAATATTTGGAGACCGTAAGGTGATACGTAGCAAAATCGGCAGAAGTGTAAAAACCTTATTTCTATATCATTCATTTGATTCTTAGATTTAAAGTTATTTGAAACTCTTTACTCCTTTCTAAATCATATTTTCTACGGTTAGTTATTTGCCAAATCATAATATTATTACTTCGACTTTTTTTTGGTATGCATCTAGTTAATTTAATCTCGTTGTGGAAAAGTGAACCGATTCATTATGACCTAGGTTGTTTGTGGATGAACAATTACTACGTAAACAACTCAGCCACCGCATTCCATCGAAGTGTACAAAACGAATCTTGTTATGAAATAACTGGTATTCTTGTGACCCATTTGTTTACTAGGACAAAAGAAACGGGAAAAGAGATATGTAGTTAAATAATTCCAGTGAAGTATTCAACTGATTTTCGTACGACAGGTTAAACAATATAGTATAAATCAGATACTGTTACCATCTTTATTACGTTATTTAAGTAAGTAGGAATTATTATTTTGATCAGACTAAGTCTAGAAAAAGAAAATCTCTGAGAAAATTCTTGTATCGAAATGGACATTCAAATGACAATAGAACATACTATTACATAATATGAAACAAATTCGGGCATTGTAAAGCAACATCTTAGGGCCTAGATATAATTTGTTTATAATACAAATTTATGAACTCTGTCAAACATTAAACACAACTAAATTTATATTCCGATAAAAGTCACGGTTTTGAATAACACTATTAGTGTTTTTGTAATACAAAAAGAATCATATCATTGAAAATTACTCATGGGAAGTGTGAAGTAGGGACAATGGTAAGCATGAAAATAATTGTATTGTTAAACATCATACAATTTATGTTAACGGCTACACTAATCAGTCGGTCATATGCAACGTAGAACCTGACATATGTGAATTCCTTAACGGCTGCAAGGCATCACACAGGAATTCGACAGTCTTAATACCAAAAGTATTATTTTATGGTACCGTGACTAGTATAATCAATTACATATTAAAATATTTGTTACATTACCATCTATCGTTCATTTAATACACTGTCTTTCTTTAAAAAAGACATGTCAACTATTTATGAGTGCAAACATTGTGTACGCAAGATATTAATTGTGAAAAATTATGTACACTTTCCATATCTATGTTCACATTTATTTGAAGTACATAGAAAACTAAGGTTTCTGAGAGAGTAAACTAATTGATAAGTCACACAAATTCCATGGAATCTAGGTTACTGAAATTACAAGTTGGAAAGATAAACATCAACAGCTCCAAGTAACTTAAAAGAAATTTGTCAAACCATATAAAGGATTCAGTTTGTCTGTGTGCTTTGCTATTTGTTTCAGAAGAACAACCATTTACAACCGATTTTAAAAGAAAACTGAAAAAATGAGCAAAACCAATTATTGCACTGTACATAATAATTATTATTATGTGGAAACACAAAAAGATGACTCCACTATTTGAACAGTTAAATTAAGAGATTAAGACCTGTTCCAAGTCATAGTTAATTATTCAGATTAGCTCATTCCATGAGTCAAACTATTTCCTATGATCGAGAACTAAAAGGCATAGTAAAACTATTTGAATTATGATCAAACCATTGTAACACTTTTTTCTTTGATTTCGTTAGCTTGTTACTATTAGTTCTTCGTACGTACTACGACTACTTTTCGTAACATCTTCAACTCGAGTATATTACGATGGTTAGTTGGATTAGGTGAAATGAAAAAACGTTTTACATTAAGGTTGTAATGAGAAGAAAATATAACCATTTAATCAATCGCTTTTATCTTGATTTACAATTTGTAGTGAATGAACATGAAAGAAGATTCACCATCTCAAATGACTAATTACAATCTTGCGAACACGAACGTATAAGGATAAGTTAAATTGATTAACGTGTACGCAGAGTTAGGAAAAATTTGAATCATAATACTGACAAGTTATTGTTTTACCAGCAATTAAAAAATTCACTTATACGGGAGGATTTTAGTGAGGCATGTTGTGTCTAGGAATACAAATAGTGTAAACACAGTTTTGAGTTAAAACAATAAATTATAAAAGCATAGGCAACTAATCTTTGTATTGTTAGTTAAGCATGATTGGAAGATTGATGATATAATAATTTAACACAGGAGTGTTGGAAGTGACCGACCAGTAAGCAAATAAATATCAAGTAGTCCCATCGGATGTAAATTGTTACAATGATAAACAGAACTGAACTCTTATTATGGAAATAAATCTTATATTTGGAAATAGTGGAAAAACAAACTTTCCTCGGAACTTCTTCAGAGATAATGATCAGAATGAATTTGATAAATAAATATCGAAGCTTCCCTGATTATTTATTTTATTTAGATTGTAAAGATTTACAAATATAAATGATTGAAAAAAAATCAAGCGAATGGATAAAACGTAATTAAAGCTTCTTTATTGGTAGCTAATCAAATTATTTATGTATAAATAACAAGCTCAAAATAAGGATTTAGGACAGTCAGCATTGAGAATATGATACTGAGGAACATCTAACTTTAAGCAGTCTTATGAATTCTGGAACCTCCTTATTTATGGAACTAATACCACTCTTCTGACAGTAAAATATGACAGAAGCATTTCTCCAACTTCTCATGATGAAGAACGTTCCTGTGGTGTAGTATGGAAGTTACTGAACTATTTATATTGAGAACCATATTCAATCGTACACGGTTTGATATTTCTTATCAAAAGAATAACAATACTTAACTCTACATCATCAGACATCATTGCTATTACGCTACAATGATGCGATTACAAAATTTATTTCTTGGGTAAAATTAATAAAGATATTTCAAAGAGTTTAGAATTCACAATACCTAGATGAAAATCGTATTATAGACACCGATTAAATATTGTCACTAACAAGAAGTGATATCAAGAATTATGACTAGATAATTTCGCTAGCGCGAAGTTTGACGTTTCCGAAGAAATTTGCGTTGCTAAATTTGAACAACAATAACACAACAGAAAAGTCATTATAGAATTAATCAAAACAAAGCCAGAGAGACGAGTACACGAAAAGATTTCAAGTGACTCGACATTTTCAGCTATTTATAAACGACATAGACCACAAATTTAATCATCATTAGAATCGTCACTTCATTACTAACCATAAGCGTATTATTCATGTCGACTAAGAAAGTCTAAGAAAAAGATTTTCCAGTCTATGATATATAGATTCAAATAATAACAATAACAATGAAGAACATTTAACTGCCTCAACCCCATAAAAAAGAGCACAATTTTTAAACTTATATACTTCGGTGAAAAATATAACTTATCAAATCAACGAACATCAAATGGAAATCAAATGAACTAGGATGGTAAAAGAAATAATTTTTTTCAACACAATGACATTATTCTGTGATCTTTAAGATTGTATATAGTGTGATTAATTTCAAAGAATACTGTCGTTACTTATTGTGAATAATCTAATGAAAACTAAACTCCATATAATGTACGAATCATTTAAAAAAATCAATGGATAGAAGAATAATTAATCGTTGGAAATAACAATGAAACTGCTTTTTTTGAGTTAGTAATCCAGAATAAGAGTCCTAGTAACAATTATTTTGAGCATAATTTTCCTGAAGGACATAGTTCAGTCAATTTACAAATATGCCTGAAAATATGAAGCTTCAGTGAGTAGATACGACTTTGTCTCAGAATACTATTAAGCACAGAAGCGATAGAAAAACGTTGGGTGGATGGGACGAGCGGGGAAATTATTCTACCTAAAACCCAGCTAATTTATACACACAAAACAAGTGTATGAATAACATAAATAACATTTTAAGAACTCGTCGCTTGATAGATGAATAATCAATTACTTATAGAATCTTTTGCGATGTGCAAATATACCAAACTGATTGACGGATTGATAAATAACAATAATTACAAAACGAAATACTCAAGAAATTTCGCAGCAAAATGTTCTGATACTATCGTAGCAGAAAGTGCCTACCTGAATTCTAACACTTAAGATGAAACTACTATTATAACCAAAGTAGATTCGTTTTCTCAAAATTCTTGTTGCGAATTAAAGATCTCAACTCCTCTCTTGGTTAAACCTCACTACTTACTGAACAATCAAACAATATTGAATTGCAGTTTACTAGTTCAGTATAAACCAGTTTCAGGGTGTAAATCATATTCTTATTAACCACATAACATTTACTTCAACGTAGAGATTAGTAGAGCAAGTATAAATTTACATATTTCTTGAGAGTGATTTGATTGATTGATTTGAACACATAAATACTGGCACAATGGAGCACCAGATAGATATGTGCCACACAAATCTCATTTGATTTGTGTAAGGACTGTGATACTGCCCGGGTGCCCAGGCCGAAGCAGGTGGTTTTCTTAGGGGGTAACACTCGGAGCCTTTGACCTAAAGGTCTGGTCCACAAGGCAGTGGAGCATCGTAAGGAGATGCAGTCCCATGGTAGTTGAGTGTATGAACCAAAGTCCACATTCTTGTTAATTTGCAATTTAGGCAAGCTGTTATAATTGAATGGTCATAATACTCTGTCATATGAAAATAGATTTTAAACAGCTATAATTTATAAATTGTTGACTGGTAATGGTAAAGGAATACTTGATTTGATATTCTTAAATAAACATTCATTAGTATATGACTTTAATAACTGTAAACATTCTCAATCATTTCTATTGTGGAGAAAGAACACTATAGGAAATTATTAATGGTGTAAAGTTTAATAGAATCAACTTAACTCATGTAACATAAATCATAAGCATATGAATACAGCTTGTAAGAAGTAATTCGATAGTCAGGCGTGATGTAAAGAAATGGTAAATATTTGACTAAACGCCAGTAGATTTAGTCAAGTGTTCTACCATTATACATGAAGGTATATTATAGTAATACTAATAACAATAAAACATGGAGTGGTAAATAGTGGTTTTTATGCAAGATTTAGATACATACCAGGAATAATGAGGTGCTATGGAAACCGAAGCAATAAACTTAACCTCTTCCATATAAATCAAGGAATTACAAAACAAAGAATAATGATAGTAAAACAGTAAAATCAATGAGAATAGATAACATAAATGAGGATAATAGTAAAGTGATATCGGATAACATGTCATTAGAAATCTTCAAACGTCATAATATAAACAGAGTATGAAACGAAGTTGATTTAACAATGAATGTACCTAAGTTGTCTTTTAATGGAGTAAGAATAAAAACAAAATATTAAATGTTAAATAATTAGTCCCTCCGATAAATTTCGATAATTCAATGAGAAGACGAAGGCTATCAGAATTATGGTTATGATTTCATGCTTAGATTTAATGTTACAGAGACATTCACAAGGAATAATAATAATGGATTAGATCCTAAAAACCTATGGATCACTTGGATTTCGTAGGAAACTATTTTATGTACCATAACAATTTGGAATTAAATTCTTGTCATACAGAGAAATCATGACTGATTGTCTTTAGAAAAAAATATTTATACTGAAACTTTATCAATTCTAAGCAAATACGTGTATCGAAGCGCTAAAATTACACAAAATACACTGACATTGGTAAACTATGGGGTTAAAGAAAGGATGATCTAAACAAGGAAGTACGTTAGAACACACTTCTATTTGCAAGAAAATTGAAGTCATGTGTAAAATCGATATTTGGAATAATCCACAAGATACAAACGCTAATCATACTACACCTAAACATCATAGACAATACAGAAATGATATTATATCGATCAAAAGTGAACGAAATTCAATTTCAGTTAATTAGAAAAGAGAATATGAATCTGAGTTGTACATATAATTTTATCAACCATAAATATAATGATCAGTAAACACGTACAATGAAGCGCTAATAGATTAGAAACATACAAACGTTTATAAAGTTCCTATTTATTTGATAACGCAAAAGATATCACCATCGTTCTGAGCCTAAATATGTAAGAAAATTACAATTCTACAAATTTATATACTAATTCATCACTTATACAGTCCGCTTAATTTTACCTCATATTAACCAATCAATCTAGAAGACTACAGATAACCTACGTACCTTAGCTTATCACAACCAGAAGAAAAGAAAGTAACATTTAAGATAATGCAATTCTTACCAATGTTAAGGATACCCTACCTGTCGTTTAGAATGAAAACAGCTATAGCCCATAAAAATATTCAGATAGATGAGTAGAACTTACATAGAATACTTAAAGCTAAACATCTTACGAATATCACAAAAAGTGACATTTTTACTGGAAATAGTAGACAATCAGTAAAAATTGAAGATTTACCCAAATCAATTTATATTGCTACAGTTCCCCCAAAAACATCTAAAGCAAATACTAAAGGACGAAAATCAAACGGTAACGGAAAATTCAATTAAAAACAGAAACGTATCCTGAGTTAACTCATTAGATTATAAAAGAATAAGGAAAACTTAATGGAAGTGTACCACTCTAAATAGGCAAAATCTACCAAACAATAAATATTTCTATGATACAAAACTTATTCACAAAGTTAAGACGTTGAGAACATTAACAAAATAGGTCATTATCAATCAGAATATCCGTGTTGTTGCACCAAAACACACATTATACATTATTAGAATAACCTAAGGATGATAGACGATAAAATGCCACTAAACAATATAAAACCTAATTACAACAACTAGTAAGAACATAACAACAATCAATATACGGGTGAACTCACTTTTCTGTTTTACGATCCGAATTATTATGATTACTGTTATTATTATTATTATTATTAAATGTCGGCAATTGATTTGTAATTTCTGTATTATTACGATGTGAATTGATATTTTTATGATTTATAATTCCTATTGTTGTATCAGCTGAAGCACAATATTCCATTTTTAATAATGAATCATTAATTTTATTCTCTGTATTAATAACTGCTGCAGCTGACTTAATATCCACAAACGTCACTATAGCATGACGCATATGACCTTCTTTAAATAATCGAATTTTTTGAATTGATCCACCACCATGCCTTTAAATAAGAAATATATTTTAAAATTTATAAAATCAATATCATGATACACATGAAAGGTGTAATAGCAACAAAACTAACTGAAAAAAGTTTCGCTGAAAAAAATATAAAAAAAAAATCAACAAAAATAGAAATAACATATTAAAATAGAGAAAAAACTCCTGTTAAAAATTTACCTTTCAAGAACATTTCTCAAATCTGCATCTTTACATTTTGCAGGTAAATCACGAATCCACAAAAATCTAGTCTTTTTCATGTTGTAGGTGGTATATACATTAAGAATGATATTTTCATTCTATAGTTCTAGTCGAACAAATCAAAATTGGATAAAATAGCTTAATTCCAAGAGAAAACTCTGAACAGCTAATAAATTACGGCCGGCTAGGACAAGAAACAATAACAATTATAAGAGCAGGGCGGACAAATAACCCTAGCAAGCTTAACAGATCGATAAAATATTGTGATTGGTCTATTGGTTATCTGGCGCTAGCTTCAAGGTTATTCAATAATTTCAAGGTCATGGCCTAATGTGAAACAGCCTGTCAGATTATTTCTTCTCCTTTGTTTATGGACTACAGTTTAACTAAGCAAAATATTATTGATAAATACAAAATAATGGTAGGAATATTTATAGTTTAAAGCACAAATGTTTGTCTAAATCACTGGATATATTGTGGGTTTTGAGACTTTGTATCGAACTAATAGAATAATTGAGATAAATTTGAAAATATGAGGGTTTAAACTGTGAAGATTTTTTCATTCATAGTTATGTTTATATATTTTAAGCAAACAATGAAAATCATGCGGATTCTCAGAATATCAGATTATTAATTCTTTTTAAATCGATTTCAACTAAAATGATAAGCGACTATTGAAATTATAAGCAGTGTAGTTCAGAACCGCAGATTGATTCAATACAAATCTTTATAGTTTATATTGTTCATTATGATATAATATTGATGGATTTATAACTTTATACCTAAAAGTAGAGCTTATCGAGGACAACTTTACTGTTGGGAATCCTTACTAACTATGACAAGACTCCTGCTTTTGTAAAAAGGACAAAAGCTTTGGATACATAATATACATCTAACTCATTTCAGCCGTTTCTAGTTTGTGCGATTTCTGGCTGATTCTTTCCCCTTGACTAAGATGATGGACTTATCATGTAAGCATTATTGAATATTGATTTCAACATTTCGACAACATCAAAAAATATATCTCACGAACATATCGTAGGAGAGACATTTTTGTAGATATTTAGATGCTTTACTGGTGTCACAGATGATGTAGATTAGGTAATACCATTGGACACCTCTGTATCTTCGTGGAAACTTCAATGGTTATTAGTCAATGTAGGATGATACCTCTTCCCAGATGAAGGGAATATAGTAACTTTTGTGATATTGTATAGTGTTCGTTCAACCAAATATCGAGTATAGAATGGAAGCAATCAGCTCGTCTAAAAATAATTGAGCCAATGGAAAAGGCTTGAAGAACCGCAACTAATCTGATATCTGGAATCTCAAAGCTGTCGTATAACGAGAACCTTAGCAGACTGTTAACAGAAATAATGTGTTGATAAATGCAAAACCCGATTCACGTTCTGATTCCAGACAAGTGTAAAATTAAGACTCAAGACTTAATGTGATATGGCAACTCCGACTGATGCACACTCGTCACAGGCCTTACGCTGACAATAACTGAGACTGAGGACTTTCAGAAAATGCCTTCAAATATTTAACAAAACATATTAGTGTATTGCTTGTGATGTGTCACTTAACTTTTAATATTCAAATAAATTTTTTAATTAATAAAGAATTACAGTGTACCAAGAACTAAATAATTTGGCAACCATCCAAACGTCTCGGCCACCTATTTCCGAACGGTGTAAATATTATCAAAAAAATTCCTTCTCTATGCTAAACGTATGTACTCGTGTCAGGCTTAAAACTTAATGCAAGACCGATTACTTAAACTTTCCGTTTCAGTATTCACAAGTTAAACGAATATAAGACGGCACATTTTTTGCTGTAATTGTGGTGTATGCTACTTATATCGACAGACATAAGTAGTATGTAGCACCGACCGGAAGTGGAAAACCTGGGAGCAGAAGGTTGGGAAGTTTGTGTTGAAGAGAATAGAAGGGAGAATAGATAAGAATTGTAAACTTGAAGAAGCATGTAGAATGTGAAGGACAAATGATGGAATTTTTCAGATGAAGTGTTCAGTGTATGGTTGTCATATCTTAAAAAGACATTCTGTAATTTTGTATTAAAACACAGCCGTCCCAACCTGTGTTCTCATTTACAACATATCACGTATATGTTATTGGGTAAAATAATGATTATTAGTACAGAAAAATCATGCAAATTGTTATTTAACATAAGATTATAGTTTAAACGTATTGACAGAAAGTTCAGTTAAAACACGTTTTCGATTGTTTAGTTACGGAACCTTACATTATTGAATGACCTGCTTTGTTTTGGGCATATATATAGTAACACAACCCTCACTCAAATCAATGACTGCTATACTTAATTACTTACTTACTCCTCGTGGAGGAGCATAGGCCTCTCAGTCAGTCAGGTACAACGTAGGACCAGGCACATATATGCATCGGTCAAAGTTACCATACCTCATTAACACAACAAGATGGACACCGGATTCATAAAAGCAGTTAAGTCAGTGGTGGTAATATATAAAAGAAAGGCCTCTAACCAGCATTCTCCATCCAACCCTGTCCCAAGCAATCCTTTCCAGCTCTTATTCATCCTTTTCATAACTGCTTCTATTTTCCGACGTAATGTGTTCTTTGGCCTTTCTCTTTTCCGCTCCACTTCCGGATTCCAAGTTAGCGCTTGCCTCGTGATGCAGTTTGGTGATTTGCGTAATGTATGTCCTATCCACTTCCAACGTCTCTTCCTAATTTCTCTTCAGCTGGAAGCTGGTTTGTTCTCTCCCACAGAAGAATGTTGCTGCTGGTATCCGGTCAATGGATGTTGATTATCTTTCGTAAACAGCTATTTATAAATACTTGTACTGTTTTGATGTTGGTTGTAGTAGTTCTCTAAGTTTCAGCTCCGTACAATAGAACTGTCTTGACGTTCGTATTGAAGATGTCGCACTAAGCGCTAGAGCTGAGGCAGCACTAGTGGCAACTAGTCCGTTTGGATAAACACGATTATTATGGTCAATAATTGGAGACCTTGGGCAATACAACTTAAGGTCGACTGTAATGGGGCAGATGGATTATATTTTTATTTTCTAATTCCTATTTCGCCGATTCATTCCTTCGACTTCGCCTGTAGTTACTTTAGGAGGAGGGTCGAGAATGGAATCATCAATCTCATCCTATCTCATAGATCCAGAATCATCAATCATCCTTCTAACAAAGAAGGAGGGAATCATGATGAATGTTGTCCAATGTTACGCACCCACCGAGGATAGCAACGACGACAAAAAAGATCAGTTTTGTGGGAGACTGCAATCAATCATAGTAAAGTGCCAAGAAAGAATCTCACCATCCTGATGGGAGACCTAGACGTCAAAGTCGGGATGGACAACACCGGATATGGGGATATCATGGGACAACATGGACTGAGAGAGAGAAACGAAAATGGGGAGAGATTCGCAAGCCTATTTGCACTTAACAAATTTGTTATAGGCGGAACAATATTTCCACACAAACACATACACAAAGCTACATGGGTCTCACCGGACCACACCACAGAGAACCATACAGATCATATTTGTATCAATAAAAATATTCAGAAGGACAATTTAAAACGTGAGAACCAGGCGAGGAGCTGACATAGCTTCAGATCACCACATGGTTGTGGCCAAGATGAAACTGAAGCTAAAGAAAAACTGGACAACTGAGGGAACAGCACTACAAAGGTTCAATACAGCCTTCTTTCGAGATGCTAACAAACTCAACAAATTCAAGATAGCTCTTAACAACAGGTTCCTAGCCTTACAAGATCTACTCACCGAAGAAGAAACTACTATGGAGGGAAATCAGAAAGGAGTGAAAGAAACACTAATTTCAACGTATCATGAGGTTCTGGACTGCAACGAGTATCGTCGTAAGGAATGAATCGCTATCGAAACGCTGGACAGGATTCAAGAAAGGAAGAACAAAAGGAAAGCAGGTAACAACAGCTGGACAATGGCAGAGAAAGTCAAGGCACAAGCTGAATACACTGAAGCAAACAAGCAAGTGAAAAGGAGCATTAGGGCCGACAAACAGAAATACGTGGAGGACCAAGCAACGACAGCGGAAAAAGCTGCAACAGAATCAAGTATCAAACAACTATATAACACAACGAAGAAACTGGTAGGGAAATGGGGTAAACTAGAGGGACCAGCCAAGGACAAGGAAGGCAAGACAATCACGGAGACTAAAGAACAGAGTAACAGATGGGTAGAATAGTTCGGAGAATTCTTGAATAGACCAACTCTATTGAATCCACCGGACATTGAAGCGGTACAGATAGACCTTCCTGTAGATGTCGCTCCATCAATGAGCGAATAAATCAAGATGGCCATAAGACAAATGAAGAGTGGGAAAGCAACAGGACCTAACAATATATCAACTGAAGCTCTTAAGTCAGATACAGAAGTAACTGCAAACATGATGCACGTTTCATTCAGGAAAATTTGGAATGAAGAACAAAAGCCACTGAAAGACTGGAAAGAAGGATACCTCATCAAGATATCAAAGAAAGATCAGAGCAAATGTGAGAATTACAGAGGAATCACACTACTTTCGGTACCAGGAGAGGTTTCCGACAATGTTGCTGAAGCGGATGAAATATTCAGTGGACGCCCAACTTCGAGATCAACAGGCTGGACTCCGTAAGGATCGGTTGGGTACAGACCAAATCGGAACACAACGGATGATGGTTGAACAATAAATTGAATGGAAATCGTCACTGTACATCAACTTTTGTGACTGTGAGAAAGCGTACGTACATCAGTTCGAGTTGCCATACCATTTGACAATGTAAGTAGGATGACCTTATGGAATCTTCTTCGACACTAGTGTACGTGAGAAGATCTTCAACATCATACGTAATTCATACGACGGACTACAGTGCAAAGCGGTAGATGGAGGACAACTGACAGACGCATTCCAATTGAGGACCGGAGTCAGACAACGCTGCTTACTCTCTCTCTTTCTTCCTCAATCTTCTGGTGGTTGAATGGATTATGAAGACCTCGACATCAGACGAGAAGCACGGAATAAAATGAACAGCTCGGAATCAATTAGAAGATTAGGACTTCTCAGGTGACATGGCCTTTCTATCCCATACACACGAACAAACGCAGATCAAAACAACTAGTGTAGCAGTAGCTTCTGCATCAGTAGATCTCAACATACACAAAGGAAAAAAGCAAGA